GCAAATGGCCTGAATCTTTTGACTCGAGTTTGTGATAGGTAGGCATAAGTGGTAACTTAAGTGGCTTTGATGTCCTCATTAATTCGTTTACTTTCGTATTCTGCCCTTTGGCAACCAGAATTTACGTCTTATTTCTGATACAGTATGGATAATTCCAGGACGATATGATTCTTCATGTTTTCGTCATATGAGAAGCTTAGTGACTTGATTGTGATTGCAAGATTGGATGTTTGCTACTTCCATCCAGTTCTATCAACTCTTCGATCTCTACAGTTTTTCCTCACTGTAATAGAAGTTCCATTTGTATATTTTTTCTTTACTCAGATCGCCCGATTGTGCACGTCTGATTAGAATTAGAATTCATTCTACGACTTTGTAATCGTCGCTTGTTAAACGATTTTCCTTAATTAAAATTGGTCGTATCCAGATAAATTTTGTTTCATGGTCATTCTTATAAATTTGAAGCAGTAATCTTCAAATAGTTTTAGCATTCAATAAAATGGTTTTCGTTAACAACTTTTAATTCTTGGATTGAAATTTGAGTAGTTACCTTTGCTCCCAATTTGTATCCTTCATTTTCATTTCTTTTTTTAATTTAATTTCTCACTGCGGCCAGTTGATTTTTTTTATTTTTGTTAATATTTCAACTGGAGAAATCGGACAAAGCTTGTCTTTGAAACGAGGTCCTTTAGTTGTTGTGCCGGCAGTATATCATTTCTTCTTTCAACACTTGAGGTAAAACGTAATTCATAATCTGGTGCGGTGCTGAGATAGTGGGTTACGTATGTAATTTCAATAAGAAATGACGAGGACCTGAAGCAGTATAATTTCTGGCATATGCTGATCTCTTTCCCACACAATACTCCAATTAGCTGGCACTACATGAATAAATTGAGATTTATGAATTCTCGCATGTACGGAAAATATGACTACGGATTGGTTCGTCGCTTTCATCACCTCTGATAAGACATTCAGCACCTTCCGCTACCTCTCCTGGAAACCATCTCGACTATTGTAAAAGTTGTCCAAGGCGAAGAGAATACTCTAGTTGTTTGGTTGACTAAAGACAATATAGTATACAGTCTTTATACACGGCATTTAGAGTGCATGCTCTAAGTTTTATCGTATTGATGACATGCAAATTTCTTAGAAAACATGTCTACTCATGCAGCTAGCAACTATAAAGTAAGATCTTAGATCTAATGAAGCAATATCAAAATGCCACGAGTGTCCTCTAAACTGAAAGGAAAGGAAGTAAAGAATAAGAGTATTCCAAGATGCTTTTGCAGTTCAGCTCGATGTCCAGTTTGGTCCATTGGTGTTTATGCAAATCGACACACATTAAGCATTTGACAATTCCTATGTCCGTTTAGGTTTTTGTGCTTCTGGCTTATCCAGTTTCAGCCATTTTAAAACAACAAGATCTATCAGATCTTTTTTCCAGATGGTTACATCATATGAAATCGAGTCTTCTGTTGAAAGTCCAGTGATCTTTGACAGGTTTTTGAAAAGAAACAATACGGGAATTATCGACGGTGTCCGCGTTGTCTAATCACCCAACAAAACTTTTCTTTTGTAACTGTTCAGTTTGAGGTGTCAACAGAGATTTGAATGTTGGCGTATGTTCTAGATGATTCAAATAACGAACTGGAAGAGGTTCAATGCCATATTTCGAAAGTAATCTTACATTCCCTGTTGAAATGTCTTGATCGTTATGCGACATCATTCGATTATCTCGTGATTTGCGTTTCTGTTGAGAACATTGTTGTGAATCGCGATAACTCCTTTACTATTTTTGGCAACTCATTGGTGAGTGTGTGCCAAAGTTTTTCATCTTTTTCACCTATGGCCTAATCCGATGAGATTTCTTCTTCCACAATTTTTCAAGAAATAATTTAAATCGTATCATCATAGGGATAAGAAATTCTAGTAGATCATACTGGGATGCAAGGAAATGTAAAATGAAACACTTTGTTAATTCCTTCCCAATCCATGGTTTCAAATTTAATTTATATGATGTCTTTACTGTGATGTCAGTTAATTCCAACAATTTTCTTAATTTGACTTACATCTGCTTGGTCATTCTTAGGTAGCCTTTCATTGAATTCTTGATTGTTTGAAAGAAATTCTCTGATATTCATTGAAGATTCATTAAAAATGCATTTCATTTCTTGGTATTTTTTAAGCTGTTTTGGTTGACCAAAGACTCTCTGGCTGTTTGGTTGACCGAAGACTATAATACACTGTCCTTGTGTATCGCACTTAAGGTGTATGCTCTGAGTTTTTCGTGGCCTGCAAATTTTCTTAAAAAACATATCTACGCATGCAGTTAGTGCACAAAAAGCGGGATATTAGGCCCAATGAAGTAGAACCCGTTTATGTTACTAATGCTATTAGTATTCCAGATTTAGTGAAAACTATATTAATAGGTATTTAGGATCATAGTTTTTGTCTTGGTCAATTAAGCGGTAATTATAGTGTTTGTCCCAATCAATTTTCTTCTTTTTTTTTTTCTCCCTTGCCTCTGCTAAACCGCTAATCAAAATACTTCAAATTAATTCGTCGCTACTTGATCAATATGATGAAGCAGTTTAAGAATAGCTACAATCCAACTTAATCGAAAAATCTCTAGAAATTAAACAGGTTGTGTAATTCACTATTTGCCTCATCATGAGGTGCAAGTCAACAACAAAATTACGAATTACTTATAACACCCAGCCCCTTTTTGTAGTCTGCTATTCTGAACTCTCACTTGGAAAAACATAAAGCGAAATGGCAATAGAAATAAGAAAAAATCTTTATGTTGATAATGTAATATTATCAATAGAAGGAATTCAAAAAGCGCTTAAAAAATACCAAGAAATGAAATGCATTTTTAATGAATCTTCAATGAATATCAGAGAATTTCTTTCAAACAATCAAGAATTCAATGAAAGGCTACCTAAGAATGACCAAGCAGATGTAAGTCAAATTAAGAAAATTGTTGGAATTAACTGACATCACAGTAAAGACATCATATAAATTAAATTTGAAACCATGGATTGGGAAGGAATTAACAAAGTGTTTCATTTTACATTTCCTTGCATCCCAGTATGATCTACTAGAATTTCTTATCCCTATGATGATACGATTTAAATTATTTCTTGAAAAATTGTGGAAGAAGAAATCTCATCGGATTAGGCCATAGGTGAAAAAGATGAAAAACTTTGGCACACACTCACCAATGAGTTGCCAAAAATAGTAAAGGAGTTATCGCGATTCACAACAATGTTCTCAACAGAAACGCAAATCACGAGATAATCGAATGATGTCGCATAACGATCAAGACATTTCAACAGGGAATGTAAGATTACTTTCGAAATATGGCATTGAACCTCTTCCAGTTCGTTATTTGAATCATCTAGAACATACGCCAACATTCAAATCTCTGTTGACACCTCAAACTGAACAGTTACAAAAGAAAAGTTTTGTTGGGTGATTAGACAACGCGGACACCGTCGATAATTCCCGTATTGTTTCTTTTCAAAAACCTGTCAAAGATCACTGGACTTTCAACAGAAGACTCGATTTCATATGATGTAACCATCTGGAAAAAAGATCTGATAGATCTTGTTGTTTTAAAATGGCTGAAACTGGATAAGCCAGAAGCACAAAAACCTAAACGGACATAGGAATTGTCAAATGCTTAATGTGTGTCGATTTGCATAAACACCAATGGACCAAACTGGACATCGAGCTGAACTGCAAAAGCATCTTGGAATACTCTTATTCTTTACTTCCTTTCCTTTCAGTTTAGAGGACACTCGTGGCATTTTGATATTGCTTCATTAGATCTAAGATCTTACTTTATAGTTGCTAGCTGCATGAGTAGACATGTTTTCTAAGAAATTTGCATGTCATCAATACGATAAAACTTAGAGCATGCACTCTAAATGCCGTGTATAAAGACTGTATACTATATTGTCTTTAGTCAACCAAACAACTAGAGTATTCTCTTCGCCTTGGACAACTTTTACAATAGTCGAGATGGTTTCCAGGAGAGGTAGCGGAAGGTGCTGAATGTCTTATCAGAGGTGATGAAAGCGACGAACCAATCCGTAGTCATATTTTCCGTACATGCGAGAATTCATAAATCTCAATTTATTCATGTAGTGCCAGCTAATTGGAGTATTGTGTGGGAAAGAGATCAGCATATGCCAGAAATTATACTGCTTCAGGTCCTCGTCATTTCTTATTGAAATTACATACGTAACCCACTATCTCAGCACCGCACCAGATTATGAATTACGTTTTACCTCAAGTGTTGAAAGAAGAAATGATATACTGCCGGCACAACAACTAAAGGACCTCGTTTCAAAGACAAGCTTTGTCCGATTTCTCCAGTTGAAATATTAACAAAAATAAAAAAAATCAACTGGCCGCAGTGAGAAATTAAATTAAAAAAAGAAATGAAAATGAAGGATACAAATTGGGAGCAAAGGTAACTACTCAAATTTCAATCCAAGAATTAAAAGTTGTTAACGAAAACCATTTTATTGAATGCTAAAACTATTTGAAGATTACTGCTTCAAATTTATAAGAATGACCATGAAACAAAATTTATCTGGATACGACCAATTTTAATTAAGGAAAATCGTTTAACAAGCGACGATTACAAAGTCGTAGAATGAATTCTAATTCTAATCAGACGTGCACAATCGGGCGATCTGAGTAAAGAAAAAATATACAAATGGAACTTCTATTACAGTGAGGAAAAACTGTAGAGATCGAAGAGTTGATAGAACTGGATGGAAGTAGCAAACATCCAATCTTGCAATCACAATCAAGTCACTAAGCTTCTCATATGACGAAAACATGAAGAATCATATCGTCCTGGAATTATCCATACTGTATCAGAAATAAGACGTAAATTCTGGTTGCCAAAGGGCAGAATACGAAAGTAAACGAATTAATGAGGACATCAAAGCCACTTAAGTTACCACTTATGCCTACCTATCACAAACTCGAGTCAAAAGATTCAGGCCATTTGC